GAATAGCGGAGTAGGCAGTGGAGAGAAAGGCGGATGCCTTACCTGCAAGCAACGAACTTCCCTGGCGCGATAGCTGGGCTCCGCGAGGTACCTGCACACGACGAAGACCACAGTCAGTACGGTGACAGCTACCTGCAGGTGAGATAGCAAGGAGGACTTCATCTTCTTCTTCCTCCTCCTCCATCTCTCTCTCCTTCCTCCCTCTTCCGCCTCTTTCTTACCTTCTTCTTCATCTAGGAGAGTGAGAGAGGTTATCAGTAGGAGAAACAGGCAGAGGTTGTGTTGGGCACATTGCCCAGGATCTGATTCGACATTTTTTGGGACAGACATTGATTGGACACTCCGCAAGGGACTATTTTTGGGACTTCGCTGTCACGATCTTGGTCTACTCCCTTGCCTCCTGCTCCTTCGTCTCGTCCCTTCCCCCCATCTCTCATCCGTGGCTTCTCCCCATGTATGTGTGTGAAGTAGGGACCTTTCTTCTGTGATTACGGTCCCTCCTCCCCCCTCACAGGTGTGATGTATGATGGATGTCGGGTCAGTCCAGATCAGATCACATCTTCTCTTTAAAGATTTCCGCTGCACCACTTTGTGCCATTTTGTATGTATCGGGATGTACATTGCTTGTCGATGCTATGCTGACCTTGCACTGTCCATTTCGGTCCTTTTCATCACATTGCGGATCCTTGGCTCCCTACGCATTGTCCCATTGGGCATGCATCACTCGCGTGAGGGAGGATGCTCTGGGATAGGATGTAGTTGGTCTGTGCCTATTGTTATTGACTGAATAAAACGACTTTCCTTTTCTTTCTACATTTTAGCGAGTCGCCCAGCTCGCACCTTGCTTTTTTATATCTGACTCAGTGGCAGATTTTGCAGGTTTCTTTTTCTTTCCACATTTTAGTGAGTCGCCCAGCTCAAACCTTGTTTTTTTATATCTGACTCAGTGGCAGATTTTGCAGGTTACAGGAGCCCCGAACTAGTCCTCCCGTGGGTGACAGACACGGAGCGAACATAGGATTGATTATATCCGCAGGCCGGCAGATCCCTCCCGTCGACACCGATGTGCAGACTAGCTTGTGCAACGTAGGAACAACTGTTTATTCCAACCAGTTTTCTCCTCCTGAACCCACAATCAGAGATGCAGGAAATATACTCCCCTACCCCTCCATAACCCCATTTCCACAAACAGCAAAAATGTGTGTGCAAATGACATTCTGCCTGGTCTAACCAAGACATCACCCCCTTTTCTGCAACATAGGCAGCTGTGCCACGGCCGTATACTGGCTGGTCCAACCATGACATCAATCCCTTTTACATGGTCCATCCAGAATCATGACAGGACAGCCTTGTAAGGGTGCCATTCCAATAACAGGGTCCACCACCGGGAACCCCTTCTCTGCTTGTTTTCCATGCCCGTCCACCCACACCTATGGAGTCGAAAACGACAAAACATCGGGTATCAACCACCAGTACATCCTGAAAGTGCGGCCATTTACACACCAAGCGCTGGGATGAATGGGCCTGCCATGCCAGGCTATATTCATTTGAAACAGCAGTGGCGCAATGGCTGGCCCGCCATGCTGGGATGATTGGGGGCTGTGCTCTTCCGAAGTACTCGCGGTTCAGCACAGCGCATGGGCTTATGGTGTGATTTCGACTAGACTACATCAAGCCCATGGAGTGTCGGCAGTGCAACCCTCCATCCTCCAATCCACCCTCCACCTGGACAATGAATGATTAGAAAAGGTGCAAAAGTCATGGTCACAGGGACCACCTCTGCCCCGACAGGCCCATCACTTCCCCTCTCTATACATCACCCCTCGTCTTCCCTGCACCCCTTCCATGCAAGTTGTCGTAAGGTTTCAATACCTCATGCCGTGTTTCATCCCTGTTCTTGAAAAGCTAACACAAAAGAGTGTCTTTTCCACACTCCTCAACTCCTCAACTTCTTGTGCACCATCGACGTGTGGTGTACTGTTGCTTTAAACCACCAGCACTTCAGGCATATATCGGCCGCAGGCTGTCGCCACGACTTTCCGTCGCAAACGGGGAACGGGAAACGGGGAACGGCCCGCGGTGAAAAATTACGGCGCGCGGTGAAAAATTACGTACCTAAAATGCTAAATGATACATTCAGCACGTTGAGATATCTACCCTCGACCGTAGAGGGTAGCTTTCTCGACTCCGTGGCGGTTGCCCATGCGGCCTTTCGTCCAATGCGGGACTCGGTACGAAGTCGTTATACAAATTAAAAAAACATTGAAATCACAGCCCAAGGAACATCCCCCTTCGCAAAAAATTCAGACCATCGGATCTCAGCCCTGTGCACAGCCACGTCCTGTCGAACGTTGTCACTCGTCGAAAACCTGACGCTGAGTTAACTCAACAACGCAGGTGGGACCAGACCCCAGAGCGCCAAGCAAAAGCGCCCAAGTGAAATTCGTATCAAATTCAAAAATGAACAGTTGTCTTTTGGCCCCCGTATTTCAAGGAGTTTCTCATCAATTTCTCTTTTTTCAATACGATCTTGAATGGGACGCTGGGCCCGGTGCCCAGCACGTGCCGCTCCCTACAAACAGATTGGAGCATGTCCCTTTCAAAAAAAGGAAGAGAAAAAAAAAAAGGATTGGGCAAGAAAAAACGAAACTCCATCCTATATTCACAACAACTACATTCACAAGAGTTCCGCGCTTTTACCCAAAACAAAAGATTTGGCAGATTGTCCTACAACGCCATTCCACAAGAATAGACAAAACGACCTGCGCAGAAGATAGCTCTCGGCAGAGAGGTAGTGTCACAACCCTGCCCTGCTAAATATCCATGAACTCCCAAGAGGGGAAAGAGGGGGGGGGGGGGGAAGTAACAGCCAGAGCGTTGTCACACTGCTTTGCGTGCAAGAGCAACGGCGTGCGAGTGGCATAGAACACTACCAGGTGAAACACATCACAGACTAGAAAGGGTGCGATAAAAGAAGTTTCCAATATACCCCTCAGAAATCATTTTATTTGCACTCAGGTCAACTTGCCTCCGAGGGACCAATGCGCTGACAGCCTAGACATGACTGCGTACTTCAGGGGAATCACGCAAGAGGCACGTACTGAGGGACGACCTACGCGCGCTGCACTCCCCACCAAGGCCCGAAATTCGTGATGAGTACTTACCAACACCCCAGAGGTATCTATCCATACACCCTACCCCACCTTGGACTGAGCTGGGACTTCGATGCAGGCCCGGGGAAGATGGTCGTGGGGCGATTATCAAGACCTGCCACCCGGACGGAGGGAAGCTAACCGGAAAGCTCATCACAAAGTCAGAAAGCACACTAACCACGGACCTCTCGCACACTTCTCCAAAGTTTCGTGCTGTGCTAAATGTGGGGGTGAGTGCGACGACGCTCCACTCACCACAGCTGTGGTAGGGTGGGTATTGTAGCCAGGCTCCTACAGTGGTCCCCGACAATGGTGACCTATTTTATGCCCACTCAACATAACCGTGAAAGGGTGAGTAGTGCAACGATGCCCCTAATCTCCAAGAACGGTGAGATACTTCGTGTTGGTAGTGAGCACGCATGGTAAATCGGTCGCTCTAATAAGACTGGAGGGCTTCACAGACACACTCCTAGTCTCCGATAATGGTGACCTAATTTACGCCCCACTCAACATAACCGTGACGGGGTGAGTAGAGCAGTGAGCGGGCTTCACAGCCACACTCCCTAGTCTCCGACAATGATGACCTAATTTACGCCGCACTCAACATAACCGTGACGGACCGAGTAGAGCACTGAGCGCGCCTGGTAAATAGGTCATTCGAATTTAGACTGGAAGTCTTCGGCCACACCAGCGATTCAATTTCTGCGTCTATCAATAACACGAACGATTTTCAGGCATATTGCACCTGCGCTTGCCGTTCCCAGTTTTTTTAAATAGGAAAAAGAAGCGGTATGTGTCCAATGGATGCAGCTCGGACACCCTGCCTGCTGCGCAAATAGAGAGCTGCTGTCGCGACCCTTCGTGAGGGGTGAGGCAGATGTGGTAGGGCTTCTGAGTCCACTGCCCGTGTCACCTCCTATTACAGTCCCGGCGAAACAGGACATAGGTCAGGCAATCCGAGGAGAGAATGCACTGAAATCATGTACGTGACGTCGACCAAGGTAAACGGACGCAAAGTACATAAAAGAGGCACAAACCACGAGCGCAAAATCACAAGAAAGATCTGAACGAACGGCAGAACCAGGAGAGGGGCTACCATATACAATATAGGCACAAACAACAGGCGCACAAACAACATACGTGAATAGAGAGGTAAAGGGCACAAACCACATACATGAATAGAGAGGTAAAGGGCGCACATCTGACAAATTCGACTGCATGCCAAGGCTTTACTGCTTGCTTGCGTCCGCATGTTCTCAAAACGTCTCCGACATCTCGCTGTACCGCAACATTCGAAGCGCTGGCCTCGTCCGAATGCACGTGGTCCAGAAGGCGTCCAAAAATGCATGTAGAGTCTCATATCGTGGAACGAGGCCCGATGTCTCCGAGCTCTCGCTGTATACAAGTTCCGCATCCAGAAAAGAATTACAAAAAAAAAAAAAAACAGAAAACAACCGACAAGCAATGTAGTGCACAATGAGCCTGATGACAGAAGACTTAGTAAAACACGAAGGGGCAAGCTTGTGTGGTCGATTCAATCTCTCACCGTACGTAACGTAGACCGATACGTTTTTTAATTAATTGCGCGAGAGGAACTTATCTTTCGGTTGTCTGCACGCGGTCCTTCATTCAAACTGGTTTCCTCCTTTTTCCTCGTGTGATCCAACGATCCGGTGACTGGGAAAACACGCAGACCACGCTGTCTGCCAACTCGCTCGGATCACGAGGTTTACCTGTCATTTCAAAAACGGCCTCTCAGAGTATTATCCCGCACAACCTTTCAAACGATTGTTGTTGTGTCGAGAAACGCACTGCCGGCCAAGGTTGTGCGGGATATTCGTCGCAGGAGCTTTGGAAAAGATACCTGAGCACGATGGAAACGGAGGGAGACTGCAGGAAGCGAGACAGACAGCACATATGCACTGCATTTGAAATATACAAAGTTCCCTACCCTTTCCGATTGGACGATAGTAAGTGGTCTTTCCAGCTGTAGAACCGGTTGAAGTATACATGGAAAATCAAGTGACCGAGGACACCCGTACTTCCCCCTCGGAAAAGGGCAAGCGAGCAAGCCGGAGTGAAACGAGGGTTGCTTAGCGAATGCTTGTGACAGAGAGGCCACTTTCTATGCACTAAGGCTCAGTGCCGCAGCAACGAGGTATAGTAGTAATAATCCAATGACGCCGGAGCCATTCTCCAAGGTGGCACACACGTCGCCATGAAGGGCTAACAAATTCCAAATTCACCCAAAAACGTTTTCAACGGAGCTTTACCATTACCGCGTAGGAGAAGGCATCTGACTTGCAAGCACCCCTCCGACGTCGACGTGAACACGGCGAAAATCAGAAGGGGAGTTGTGGAGAGAGAGAACTCAGAAAATAGGTCGGAGCATTTAGGCCTCGTTTGCCGCTCGGCAACAAACAGGCGTGTTTCGCGTGGTGAACCTTGTCATCTCCGATAACCAGATCACAAAAATAAGTAACGCCCATCGTATCAATCTACACCATGAATTGGTGGCACACAGGAGGGCAAAGCGAAGACTTACAATGATTTATCTAGGAAGAATACACGATGAGATCACGATGGAGAGAGAAAAACGGGGAATAAATAAAGAGCCAACAAAAACAAAACCTCGACACTTTGGACAGCCCCAAAAAGAAACTCCTTCAAATCATTATCAGAATTGCCACCAAAATCCATTTCGCAACAGTATTCACAACACTACTTTGACAGAGCCACGGAGATACTCGATTCAATCCGTCAGGACCGTAATAGGAATCGGCAAAATTCCGTGACAGAATTGGAATCAGCGTGTGCGCAAACTGCTGGCGCATTTCACTTTTCCCCAATGGAACTGCGAAACGTAATCTCTCTTTTCCGACTGCCAAACGTTTCTCGCATTTCGAGCACGGAGCAGAATAAAATCTTTCACAATGGCAGGCTTGTCATATCAAACCTCTGCCGCTCACCCCACAGATTGCCAGACTCACAGTGGCTGTCACACATCCACACAGTTCAAACTGACCAAATCCATACATTCAAAGTGGCCTTAATTCTTGAGAATTTTTCTTCACTTGCCCTTACTCGACTCCAACACCACCACCCAAAGAGTGCATGCACACCTACCCACTGGAGAAATCGAGATCCGAAAGGTAGGCAAACCTGCCTCTACTTAACACTCAACCTCCGCCACGCTAAAGGTACACACCAATCCATCAGAGAGCAGCAGCCCCAACAGCATGGAAACCTATACTTGAAGCACAACGCCTTGGGGAATGCCCTCATGGACGGCAAATCATATGGCCCGCACGGAAAACACGAACAAGAAAAAACCGGTCAAAACTAGACCACCGTATTGTCGTCGATAATCTCGCGCCAAGCCCATCATCCGCGAGACCCTCCTTAACGGTCGCCATCTTCACCCCACCTCAGTGTGAGATACTTCACGCGCTGGTGGCTTTCTTCAACGTTTTCGTTCAATCCAGGAAAAAAAACGACCCACCAGGACAAAACAGAAACCGATTGTCCACTGGTATTCAGAAATGTAAAGGTATTTGGATAATGTTATTCCTACAGACGACAGCTACTCTTCGCCTAGATCCCGAACCTCGCGTCGAACATTATTATTAAACCCATATTAACGCAAATAAAAGCGGCGCTCTGAAATCGGCTTCGAGTTTGCATGTTCGTTACGAGATAGGGGCCGGAAGAACTAGAAGCTGTAGGATGAGCATTATTCAATGACCTAAAGGAGGATGGCGCACTCCCATCCATGATGCCTGCCGACATTTAAAACGGTTGAAGGCTAACGAAACACCTCAAAATTCCTGCGACGGGCCCGTTCCCATATCGCCCTTCCCATCGCCTTTCGCCGTTTTCTTCGGTAAAAGAACGGAGTGGATGTTGGGCAGAACACCACCGGCGGCAATCGTTACTTGCCCGAGAAGCTTGCTCAACTCCTCGTCGTTCCTGATGGCCAGCTGAATATGCCGGGGAACAATTCTCGTCTTCTTGTTATCTCTCGCAGCATTACCCGCCAGCTCGAGAACTTCTGCAGCCAGGTACTCCATAACGGCAGCCAAGTACACAGGTGCTCCAGCTCCAACTCTTTCAGCATACTTCCCTGCTTTCAAGTACCTCGCTGCAAGTCACAACAGCACGACAGACACAATCATCATGTCAGATAATGACGCGGCACCCACATGTACACGAAATGGAGGAGACGGGCAGCTGATTCCGCGAACGTACAACAAATGCAACCTTTAAACACAACGCCAAGAGACAACGACTCTTTCAACTAGCCAGTATCGATCGCTTACAAGCAACGCAAATACGGTAGGTATATTAATCTCCAAACAGGCTAACGAAAGACTCTTGATATTCAACCCACCAGACTATTCGGGAAAATAGGGAAGATGCACACAAGCCTCCAGCCCGACACGAAAAGTGTACCTCAAGAGACGCGAGAACGCGGCGAAGCGCAGCTTGCTCTAACGAGACTGTCGACAAACCCGTGGCACAGAAATCCCATTAACGAGTGGCCAATAACGGGAGGTGACGAACGGCAGCATGGGTCGTGCATCTACACGACCCAACATGCCTCTTACCTCATCGAACACGTTACTTGACATGTCAGTTCCACGTCGTACTTCAAGCGCCCAGTGAAATACAGTAAATACCATTCCACTTCACAGCATTCACGTGCAAGTCGAGCCAAGAATCTCGGCAATTAGTTTGCCACAATCACACCACTGACAGAGAGCCAAGGCCCATCGACCAGCCAAACGACTAATACGCAAAGACGAAGTCACCATGTCATCGACGACTCTGGAGAAATGAACATGTCGTCGACCTCAACCACCCCAGATTTCACATCTGCGACGATTGTTTAGAGGACACTTAGCGTCACCAATTTCGAGCTCCTCGGACACTTAGTGAAAGACCCTCGGCACCACGCCGCGGATCTCCAAACGGTATGATCTGAGCGAGCTTTCTCAGCCCTTCGCCACAATTATCATACTGTAATACTCTAAATTTATAACAACCGTCGCCCGCACCTCTTACGCATCTCTGACACGCAATACACCATTTCTGCCACTTCCCGGCCGGCAGTCCCGTCTGCGATGCAGACTGAAATCCGAGTGTTTTTTCCAGTAATACTGTATGTGACGACGGGCACGGCCCCGATCCCGAGGACGCGTTCTCGTTTTAACCCGTTCTCAGTAATGTTTACGGATAACATGTGACGATGTGCACGGTCGATCGACTGTGGAGCTCCGAAAACCGCCGTGGACGAAATGGCGCACTGCAGTATTTCGAGGGGTCATATTACAGCGGCATGACAGTCTTTCCGGAAGTACTGTATGTGACGACGGGCACGGTCCTGATCCCGAGGACCTCGGCGCCTTAACTCCGAGGGCAAGCAAGCGGACTACCGGGAAGAAACAGAAACTATTGTCACATATATACTGTCACAAAAATATCAGAGCGCATAGCTACGTGAATTCGAAAACGTGTATCCAATTGTTCAAGAACGATCGGGATACGCGCCAAGTGGAGTCCATCCTCGAGCACGATACATAGATCGACGAAAACACTCCTCGAGCACGATACATAGATCGACGAAAACACTCCTCGAGCACGATACTTAGATATCAAGAATGCCCCAAAAAGACACCAGAAGCAAATATTAGGCCGAAACCCTAAAAAACACCACGTGACATGTCGATACGATAGATAACCCGCCTTAGACTCCACGCCACTATTTGCGTCGATCGAGTCGTGCTTCTCTCACAACGAATGTCGAAAAACAAAAGCTATCTCATAAGGTCGCGCGCTTGAGCCCATCCCGATAGTAAGGCCGAACATCAACACAAAGGGACCACACCTAAACACTCATATTCACTTTTCGCAAGTTCCATCTTCTACCAATTCCTTGCGAAATACACGTTGCATATTGGGAATAAAGGACGCATCCAAATCAATCGAAAGCGAAAATCAAATAGTAAATCCTGTATGAAACATAAGCATACCCTCTTTCCGGAAGAAATGTCTCCGTTTTACGATACGACAGCGGCAGACGGAACACCGCACAATCCGCACTAATTCTGCCGCACAATAAACGCCACCACGAGGCACAAGACGACCACTTAGCCCCTCCATGACTCCACACGAAAAAAAAAACTTCTACAGCACGCGTATGGCAAAATCACTCAGCGATGGTTCCGACTCCTACAAACAGCTAGATTCAGCACACGTTACGCGCAATGCACGACTGCTGGACGACTCGTACGATCCCGCCGAGAGAAAACGCAATTGGCACACGCATTCAACCGCCATCTTCCTTGTTCGAGCACTGCAACATCCTTGACCATTCTCGAGACGACCAGCGCATATCTACACAGAAGAGAATGCATTCTACGAATTGCTCCGCGAAAAACGCCAATCAAGGGTACTACTCGGTAATAGAATGAAAATACATTTCACAAATCTCAACCCACAACACGACGCTAGAAGCAGATCGATCTCATGGGCCAAACCTCACGTTCGCAATAAACCCTAACCCCAGTTCAACGCACGCGCTTATCAGTAACGACATAAGGAAAGAAAGACACGGCAAGAGCGGATTCAGAAAGAAAGATACATCAAGACATGGATTCAATTTCAGAAAGAGAGAAACATCAAGACATGGATTCGATTCAACAGGCCAGTTTAAGAATAAGCAACTCACCAATTCGACCGACGGGAAACTGCAGTCCAGCCTTCTGCGAGCGCGATACAGACTTAGTGCCCCTGCCCTTGCCCCTGCCAGAGCCACCTCCCGAACTCATGGTTGCTGGTGTTAAAAACTCCGACCACGTGGAAGAAGACCCGGATCCTGTTCACTCGACGTGCTCCAAAATACCCACTACGATGAAAGTGCCCAGCACCAAGACCAGTGTTCGTTCACTGCGCCGAGCGCCCACGCTGTCTACCACAGCCAATATCCTGCGGCCGTCAATCGAAATCAGAAAAGCTGTGGAACACTACTACGCATGCCTCAACCAATATATAACCAGCACAGTTTTAACTCACGAAGCTAACCAGGACAACACCAACTCACGAGATCCGTGGCGTTTTCGAAGGGATGAGAGGCATAAGAGAACAAGTGAAATTGGACTGCCGCACCGCCGATCTCAAGATTCTCGCTTCCACCAAAAAATCCGAATGCGCTGCCCAATAAGTAGCGGTGTAGACGTCGTGTGTGTACCCACAGGAATATTGCACTCCAGGCTCTACCGGATGGGCGGCAGCGAGCGAACCCTCTCACCCCTCCCCTCGTCCAACGGGTCTCGATTTAGTAGTCGAACAGACGACGGGGCCATCCGGCCGCACCGGGCGGACCCTCTCACCCCTCTCCTCGCCCAACGGGTCCGTCCGCCAAGTTTGGCGGCGCGAGTGAGCAGGGCAGCAGAGCAGAGCAAGAAGCCCACCGCTGGAAAAAAAAAACAAAAACAAAAAACAAAAGCCCACTGCTCTGTCCCAACGGTCACATTCGCCGACTGACCGCCTTAGCGGCCCGCTCTCACGGTGTCGTCTTCTGGCGTCGTGAATTGAACGGCCACCGTTGGTTGCTATTCCGAACCTCTGAATCAACGCTGGGCGTCCCTCCGGCCAAACCGTCAGCCGAGGGTCATCAACGGCTCCAGCTTCTGGCTACGTCCCCGCAGAACCCAGCAGACCCTCGCTTGTGGCTACCTCGATAAACAACCCATACCTCATAGTGTCGCCAAATCCGGCCAAATCATCGCTCTTGCCCCCTCGCGCGTGACGAGTTTATATACCACGCAAAGAGTGGGGACGCAGCCAGGGCGAGGGGTTTTTTGGCGTCAGCAAAGGGGAGCGGTGGATCAGCGATTATGTATCATGTGCCCTATGGGCCTCGTTAAACTACTCTTGAAACACGCATTTTCAAGGGCGCGGCACCTCTGCAGTTACTCTAGAGCAGGGCGGTCAGAAAACGCTTCTGAAAATGATGTTCGGTTATTCGAGGGTGGGGGGCGGCGTTTCAGCGTTAGCTCTGGTGTGTTAGCACTCTGCCCTAGCGCTGCTTGCGGGTTCGGCAGGCCTGGCCAGCGATGTCGGCTCCACCAAGGAACTACCATCGCAGGTGACACCTCACTGTCGTTCGTCTCTATGAAGACCTATGGCCTAGCCATAGTTGATGGTGCCAGTGGTCAGATTTGGCCGCCGCCCACCTGTCGCCGAGAACAAGTTGAGTTAACAAGTTAGTGGGTAGAGCAAGGAGGGCGAAGTAAGTAGCCCGGAAAAGTGTAAACTGGTAAGTAGGACTTCTGTCTCAGGATGGAAACGGAACCACCCCCCCCTCCACAAGGGTCAGGCGATGCCAGAGCACAGGTTCCAACGGATTATAGACTGGAAGAAGAAAGGGTGATGGAGATGGTAAGAGCATGTTATGAAGAGGGTATCATTCCGGAAGAGATTGACGGAGGGACGATGGAGGTTTCAGGAAGAGAGGTGAAGTTTGTCTTAAATAACACAGTGGACAAAATAAAAGTGAAATGGCTGAAGCGAAGAACGGTGACTGTTATCTTCAGGGATGGGGCCCGCTTCCTACCAAAAAGAGTCAAGGAAGATGTTATCAGGGCGTATGAGGACGGCTGGATAAGTGACGACACCTTTGGTGCGGAATTCAAAAGGGGTAGAATTAAGGTCGAAAGCCCGAACGTGGTCTCGTACGTCCCAAGATCTCAGGAAGTTACCGATTGGATGCTAACCAAGAGATCCGACTTCATCGACTTGGCAGGTACTACGTATCGCACGGAATTTAAACCATGGATGACACGAGCGGAAGTGAGAGATTGGCGAAGGACCATCGATGATAACGTCTTCTGGGTAGTGGCAGTGGGAGTCCCCTTGGGGGAAATGGTTTCCTGCATACGCACATGGAGCGAGCAATCGGGAAGATCTTGAAGAGATATCAACCTGAAGCAGACGAAGAAGATCCGAAGCTTGTCAACATTTGTTTCGATATTGACGCAAGCTGCAAGGAGAACATAAAGGATAAGATATGGGTAGAAACCCATCAAGGCGATGAGTTGGAAGTGAGAATGGTGAATGCAGAAATAGAGTGGTGCAAAAGATGTCGAACCTTCTTTCACTCGGAGGATAGGTGTCGTAGACCTGAACGAAGGAACCAAGGACGAACTACCTCCGCTCGGCCACAAGCATCGGCAAACTCAGGGACGAGGGGATCGCATCAGCCCTACCAAGGAGTGCTTAGACCGCCAGGAACGGCTACTCAACAAGTTGTAAATCAAGGGGTCAACGAAGCTACAGCGTCAAGTGCCCCAGGGGGTTCTACCCTGCGGGTTAACCCAACCTTCTCCCCAGGCCAGCCACAAGGAGTGGGGGGGAATCTTCTCCCCAACCAAGGCGTCGCCAACCCGACCATAAACTTGGCTTGGGCTTCATACTTCCAAAATCTACCGCCGCACCCCTTTCTTCAGCATCAACAAGGCATGCCTCCACCAAGTTCATCGCTAGGAGCAAGTCCATCATATGCGAATATCCATGCGTTCATGTCGTGGGGATACGACCAAGCTGGCCTTCCTTCACCGCCAGGAGGAGGAACTCTTACACCCCCCCAGGGGGGTGTTGCCCATTCTCAAAGCTACGTCAGGGGAGAGTCCCCCATCAAGCAACGTCGAGTCAGCGGAGAGAGCGGGGTAGATATCCCGGTCGATGGCCTTCGGGCGGAAGCCTCCGGAAGTTCCACAAAAGGCTCTCTTCCTTCTAGCAGCCAAAACCCATTAGGGGCAACAGGTAAGCAAAAAACAGGGCGAGGTCGGATGGAATCTTTGTCCAAAGCACAGAGTTGTATCGAAACCAAGCTCATTCCAATTGTATGTACTGCCGTGAGGGAGGCCCTGTGGATAATTTCTTGGAATAGTCCGGATGGCATCTTGACCTTTCTGAGTATGTCTTGTCCAGAGTCGCCCATGCCCCGTGCTGCCGAGACCCTTGCGCGCTCTCTCTTCCAAAACAAATTCGCCTTCTGTATTATTGAGGAAATATCTATGCCTCGCTTCATTATTGATATTTCTGGTAATCGTGCTAAATTTTTCGCCACTTTTTGACACACATTTTCTCCCTGGCCAACTCGACTTTTTGGAGAAGGAAGGCCTTCGACTTATCCTTTTCTCCTGGTTCTTGGAAGACAAGCGTGTTGACCTCCGCAGGATCATGATCACCTCGAACCTGGCGGCAGAGTTTTTGCACGAGCTGAACTCCAAGTTGGGCAAGGAGAAGAAACTGAATGCCTCCTTTGTGAAACAAGCTCTGACGGAGTCATGGCCATTGGAAAACAACCCAGGTGGGAGCTCCTCCCAGATCCAAATACCTGGGACAACCTGGATGAATGGGCAGGCTTAGGGTTGCGACGTGGAATATTTGTGGGTTAGGTGATTCAAATGAGAGGGATAAGAAACAACGTTTAAAAAGTTGGATGCACGAATGCAGGATTGATATTCTTTGCTTACAGGAAACGAAACTGTCAAAAGAAAGAGTTATGGAGTTGGGGCAGTGGTGGGATGGTCCTCAGATCTGGTCGCCGGTCAGAGGTTCTAAAGGAGGGGTCGCCATTCTGATCCATACATGCCTTGATGTTGAGATCGTGGACTTTTGCGCGGACTTGTGGGGAAGGTGGGCTTGGATCAAAATTTGTATCAATCAACAAGATTGGGTAATTTTTACAGTCTATGACCCCACAAGTTGTTCGGAGCGGGCAATCTTTTTTTATCATATCCCTCTGTTCACCCCAGAAGGCGATAACCTGATCCTGACAGGTGATTGGAATACCACCTTGGACAGACAAGAGGTTGTCAGAGGTGGTAATGACGTTATTAAGCTTATCGAGTTAATGTCTGAGTTGGACCTGGTTGAACCTTTCAGTTTACTTCACCCTGGCGAGCCAAGATATACATGGGTCTCCAATGTCCGCAAGGATAAAGGTTGTATAAGGAAAAAACTGGATTTTTTTTTTTCTCTCTCGAAGTTTGGCTTGCTATAGTGAACGTAGAAGAACTCTCAAACCCCATCTCGGACCATAAGCCTCTTGTCGCCTCTTTCACTGTTCAAGGGATCGATCGAGAGCCAGGATACTTCTGGCTAAATACCCGGATCTTGAAAGACCCAGGTATCATTGATTGGATGCACCGCTTTTGGTCAGATTGGAAAAATACGATTAACACCTTTGACTCCAAAGCAACATGGTGGGAATCGGACTCGTGGATATTTTCGAAACACTTAAGTATTTTCTCAATAATTCTTGCAGTAAAGAATAGGCAGTACGAAGACAACCTGAGGAAAAAAGTGGAATATGTTGAGCTCCGCATGGGCTTACACCCCATTTCTAACCTGGTATGGAGTAACAAGAGGAAAAAACTAATGGCAGATTGGGATATGTTCCAACAGGAACAATCAGACGCCTAGGCAGAGCGACTGAAAGTCAAGGGCATAGTTGTCTACGACCGCATGACCCGTGAATCCCTTCAAAAGCTACTGCCTAAATGTCAGTCCCAACCCATGAGTGAGTTAATACATCCGTTCGATTAAGGTCAGCCTCTGACCCATGACTGTACACAAATGACTTCCTATGCGGCTCTATATTACCAAGATATTCTCACTACCAGGAGACCGGATGAGGACATTATTATGGACCTATCAGAAGGCTCTAACCATCGGGCTTTGTTCAAGGCTAGATTGCCTAAGTATGGCAGACTTGACATGGACCGACCAATAACCTCAGAAGAGGCAGGGAAAGCCCTTCGTTCAATGATACATGGCAAAGCACCGGGAGACGATGGTCTCCCTGTGGAGGTTTACTTGGCAATTTGGGACTCGTTTAAAGAAGAGTTGGTGAATTTAAACAACCAAATCCTAAAGGGAGGAGAACTATCTAAGAGCATGCGAAACGGAATAATATCGTTATTATATAAGAAAGGGGATCGTTCAGAGATCTGGAACTAGAGCCTCATTTTTGTACTTAACGTTTCGTATAAATTGTTAGCCAAAGTTTTGGCACGTCGACTGGGAAGGTACCTACCTGCGCTAGTTGACAAAGATCAAGTGGCCTTTGTACAAGGTTGGTCGATCTTCGATAATATCGTGACAGCAATTGAAGCCCTGGAGATAGTGGGGAACACAAATGCCAATACCTCGATCCTTATGCTTGACTTGGAAAAAACATACGATAAGGTAAATTGGACGTATGTACTCACCACGCTTAGACATGTGGGATTT